ACTGCAGTCTGCTATTGTGATACTCAACAGTATTCTTCTGAAACCCCTCATACATATCTTCCTAAAAACCTCATGAGACACTTGTCAATATATTTCTAAAAATCAAATCAAGCATACCCTGTCTCTGAAAGGAGGGCAGTCTACCGAAGTCCTCTTGCCGATGGGTTCAGGATGGTCCAGCACAAAAATAAGCCCAGCTACGTGAAACAGGGGAAGTATACTGCCAGAGTGGTACAGGTCACGGTGAGAGCACCTTCCATACCCCTCAGAATCCTCTGAGACCCAGTAATCTTTCATCTTTTGTGATTGATCGCAAGAAAACGCTCAAATTTGAGGTGATTGATAAGGGTCGATGAAAGCTGACGTGGTTCCACGTTCCCACCGAACTGGCAAGCGTCATATAGCCACTAATTATATTGGTAATAAGGAATTAAATGCCACCAAAATAGGCCGGGGGCGCTTAGTTCAGTGGACAGAACGTCTGCCTACGAAGCAGAAGGTCGCAGGTTCGATCCCTGTAGCGCTCGACCATTTTTTCGGTATCCTGTTTTCCAAGGAAGACGTGTTGTCGTTTTCTTTTGCACAATGAGGTGCCGTTTTTGCTCTTTTGCATTTGTGGAGGACTGCATGGGATGAATCGAAGGGGTGGGAGCGTATGATGGTGTTTGAGGTGTAGAATATATACTTTCTGTCTACGCAGCTAAATCCTCACATGTGGACCTGTTCTGCATCTGGAAACACTGGGTCCCAAGTTAAGTGACCTTAAGTGCCATTAAGTGCCATGGTCACTTGACAACACATGAACGGCATTTAAATGCATGGTCTGGAGTATGAGTGTCACTTGAGTGCTTTCTGTTGCACTTAATTTGGGTTTGAGTGACATTCGAGTGGCATGATCACCATTACACGCCACTTCAGTATATTTAAGTGCCTTTTAAGTGACGCTGAGGATGCCAAGTGTACTCAATTTTAGTTTCCAGCACAGCATGAGACTCTGGCCGCTGAACTGACGCCAAACACATCTCCTGTGCAACTGCAAGCACATCACACACTTCTAGAGAGCTTATATATCGACCGCAAAGAACGTAGTTTAATGTGAAACTGTGAAAAATAATGCGCTCAAGCTGTTGTGTCACTCAAGGCACGTTCAGTTTTCCTGCATATATTTGGTTTCTTTCACATGTGAGTGAGTCATGTTGGCTTGAGGCTTCCAACACCACACCAATCCCCGCGCAATCGAGCTTTGACGCCTCGAAATTGATATCCACTTCGCTCAAAATATATGCTGGAGTGGGACTGTGGGGTGTCCCTGTCTTCCACCAATCTTCCACGATTTTCTATTCTTCCATTTCCCCTCTACGCACCTGTATGCTGATTCTTCTGTCTGGTTTCCTCATTTCCAAACTGGCTATGTCCTATCTTTGCTGTATTCCAAGTGCAGGATCAACTTTCTTGCTCCCAGTGTTTGCTGGATCGAATCAACTGTTCCTCTTCTCCATTCCAGGTACAATCCGTTCCCAAACCACCTGTGTCTGAACAAATCTCTATACACGAGTACTTTTTGTGCTTATGCCAATGCCTACTGTGCTACCACGTTGTCGCTTGTTCGCGATTTTCAATTACTCGCCGTTTCCAATTGACAAGCAGAGTTTTACCCACGGGCACCAGAGATTCTGGCTACAGGATGGAGAGCTATGGTTGGTGATTTCATTCAGCCTTCTGCACCGTGTTCTTGTTTTGCTGTTTGCTTCTGTGATGTTGATGTCCTTTCAGCCTTCCCAATCCCCCATCTCGAAACGCCAACAGAGTCTTACCATCCCCATTCGCACCCCTATCTGGAAGTTTGTGATCAATTGAGGCGTTTTTCTCTCGCACTGGATTGAATTTCTTTACGTGAGTTGAATGCCCCTCCAGCAGTTGTCTTGGAATCGGCATTCCCATTGTAGCACAATGCCACTTGGTGGTTTTCTGGAACTTGAGTCAGTTTGGTATGGAGGGTTTTGATTCATTGCGGTGGAGGATGGTTAGGCTGAAGCCTGGAGATGGAATAATTTGATGGTGCCCTGGACAGAGGTCTGAAACGCGACAGACCCCTCGTTATGGCTCTCTCTCCACGCTCCATGTACACTAGGTAGTAAACCAAGCGCACGTATTGACAGTATATTAGCATTAAGTATAGTAGAGTACAACTTGAGTGCAAATTAAGTGCTCAGTTGTCAGGTTTTGACTGGAACATGAGGGGCATCACGGAGAGTCACTCAAACACCACGAGTCCACTCATGACATTTGAGTGGTAACTGCAGTCATTAAGTGCCAATGAACTCCAGAGGGGGACACCTATGCCACTTAGGCTTTTAATGGCACTTAAGGCCACTTTATTAGTTTCCAGACGTGTCACACATTGCCTTATGAGCACTGCAAGCAAATTAAACC